CACGTCAAGATCATCAGTGCAGTCATTATCTTCCTGTCTCCTACACTGTCTCAGTATTAAGGCCACCAGACAGAAAGCAGTAGCACTTCAAAGTGGCGCAATTCAAAGCTGTGTCCCCATGATTCCAAAGCTAAGGGTATTTCCACTACTTCAGTATTTTCCAAATGTGCTCTTGGAACATTAATTCCACACAGATTCCTTCCATTTTCTTTTGATCCAACAGTTCCCAAACTTTTTAAACTGCATAACAGATTATTCGGTTTACTCACATCCTCATCTATCGTTGTGGTGTTCAATGAAACAAACGTGAAAACTGCATCTATTTCAGTGGCCTAAGGGTGTACACAGGGTTCTTATTGTGAAATATGGTATGGAGAAGATAGATACATGTACTGTGATTAAAAAAAAAATTGGTGGCTAGGCTCGGTGGCCTGTGCCTGTAATCCTACCACTTTGAGAGGCTGAGGTGGGTGGACTGCTTGAACTCAGGAGTTGGACACTTACCTGAGCAAGAGCGAGACCTCATCTCTGCTAAAAATAGAAAAATTAGCTGGGCATTGTGATGGGCGCCTGTAGCTGTAGTTACTTGGGAGGCTGAGGCAAGACAAGATTTTTAGCCCAACAATTTGAGGTTGCTGTGAGCTATGACACCATGGCACTCTACCCAGGGTGACAGAGACTCTGTCTCAAATAAATAAATAAATAAATGTAATGAACATTAGGTACACATTATATAAGTGTATAACTCAGTTGTAAGTTCCACAATGCATTTAATAATTTTGGAGACAAAAAGCTTACCTTGAAAGACAGCTTTATTTGATAGTCCCAATGCAGGGACAGTAGCTCCTTCTGGAAGATCACTTTCTTGCTGAAATAAAAAGTAAGATACATAAGTTTTAAACACTAAAAGTTATTATTACTTCAGGCACTACAAAAAAGTCATGCTAATAAATGCTGAGAAACAGTTTGAAGATCTCCCAGTGTGGATGTCTGCCCACACTTCTACTTCCAGAAACAAGAGATACAAAGCTAGGCAAGCCTTCTCCAGCAGATGGGCCCCACCTACAACACCCACCCAATCCATGAAGTCACACGTCCTCTTACCCTAACATCATCACACTGCTCATCACACCCTAACATCTTTCACCATCTGACAGGGATGTAGTGGGCTGAAAATGGAAGGCCCAGAGCTCCACTTTCAAGACACTCCCACAGGCACATCCCTGGTGATTCTCATATAAACACAGATGCTTCCCAGAAAGGCATAGTCATAGTATTTTCATTAAACATACTTAAGTAATTGGGGGGGGGGGTATTTTAAAACTTTGTAAAGAGTGCCATTTAAAGAGACAATAATCTGCTCAGACTCTGCTATTTACATCAGTCAAATTATTACATGTAAAACTATACGCTCGCCATGAAAATTGGTACATGCCCATATGTGAGGGTGTATTTTACAACCTGAACTGTAACATACACTGGCACTAGACACAAGCACGAATAGTTGAGAATGCAAAATCCCATCAAGAATGGCTACCTAAAGCATAAGAAACTATCTGCTTTACCTTAGAAACCAAGGAAAAATAGTATGGAAAAGAACAATAAGAAGCATTCCTACATACCTACTCTAACACTTAGTATAAGAAGAGCAAAACCCAAAAGAGAGCAAGTCTCTCTAGTCTATAGGATTCTTTTATCCAGGACAGAGAACTGGTGTAACTGGGAGTAAGCCTCTCAGGGAATCCGAAAACCCACTTCAGTCCCTAGAATTGAAGCAATCCTGAAAC